TGGTCACGCTAGGTATGATTTGAATGGTGCTGAACATAATGTGATAGAATCGACTCTGCATGGTTTGGCTCTAAACATCAAAGGAGTGACACTTGGCATGAAAAAAAAAAGACTCGTCTCTATCTGGATTGGAGCCAGGTACGAGTTTTTGCCACACTAGGCATAAGGGCCGAATGGTTCCATGCCTCTTCCACGTCGGGCTTAGGCTTAGTGGCACTAGGTGTAAGGTGTGTGGTGTTGGGCATAAGGTGTGTGGCACTGAGCAGGGTATACTTTGAAAATTCTTGTTGTTTGATTGATGGAAAGGTGAACATGAATTAGTTAGATAGATCTATTACATGTTGTATGTCACTAGGTTTGGTTGGACCTATATATATTAATTTGGGATAATATATGTAGATGGTTATATGGTTGAACTATTGAGGTGCATTTGTATGCTATAAATTGATCAATGTTGTTAGATCTATATCTATTGACCTGGGGTAATGCATATAGATGAATTTTGTTGAGGTGTGAAACTGAAAACTCTTTAGGCATTCAAGTATGATTTGTTGACTTGTTAACGTGTAATATTGAGAATGCTTTTGGCATTTAGATATGATTTTTTGACCTGTTGAGGTGATATTGAGAATGTTATAGGGATTTAGGCATGTTCATTGACTTAAGATTGGAGGAGAGTGTGTTTTTGAAAGTTGAATATCTTATTGTGTGGATATTGATGTGGTGCTCTATGAGTCCAATTGTTGAAAAACCCTTCTTAAATAAGCATTATCTCTTGGAATTGATTATTGAGTCTCCTGTAGATCCTTAGTTGATATTGGAGTAAGGTATGAAGTCGATGACTAAAACTCTCAACTAATTATTGGAGAAGTGTGTGGTACCGCAAGGATAGCTATTGGGTTAAATCAACAAGTGACTTGATTAATGCATATTAATGTCGTGATAGAATCATATTCAGGTTATGTTATACCTAACAGTGAGATTAGACTTTTCTAATTTAAGTGGTGACATCCATGTTGTAGGGATTGGTATCACAATTTGGTTGTTGACATCCATGTCTTTCAATTTTTTTTTATGCCATGTTGAAGGTGATGTTATGTATGGTTTACATGTTGGTGATTAATATAGATACTTTTATTTTATACTTGTATCATGTTGTATTATTTTTTTACACTAGCTTATCTTTGTATATTTCTTGGTGGTTGGATTGCAATGATTATGTTTACATGAGAGTAAGGTAGGATAACTGGAGGCATGTTGTGATTTTGTGAGGCCATGTTGGTGGTTGGCTTCTTGCATATCCATAAACTATTTGTGTGTTAATCTTAAATATGTGTCTTTTGTTTCCATTGCTAGTCGTCGATTCGTTAAATCTGTTAAACGTAAAGATCATGGTGAGTAGTTGCATTTCCTATTTTAGAGATATAAAATTAAATAATTATTATTTACAATAATGAAAATAAAAAAATTCATTCATTTTAAAGGAATAAAAAAAGTAATGGTTTCAATTTTAAAAAATATTAAAAGATGAAAGATAAAAAAATTTATTGAAACCAAATTTAAAATAAATCATTGTATGAGGACAAGAAACATAAATAAGTCTTATTAATATCGTGTTATATTTAAAAGTTAAAAACAATTATGGTGCCTAACATTTTACATATAATACAAATTTAATAATTATTATTAATGAATTATTTACATGATTATTAATATAATCTAATATGATGTTAATATAGTACAATAATTTTATAGTTATTATTTATGAAATATTATAATACTTTTAAATATTATAATTTGAAATAAGTGTATTTCAATATAAAATGGTTTGTGTCTATATTGAGATGTCTTGAAATTGTAATTTTGTCCGTTACTATTTCTACTATTATTTGGGTTATAATGGGGCTCTTATATTTTATCCTTGTTATAAGGTTAAAAGGTATCTGTATCATTATCTCTATTCATTCAGAAATAAGAAACTCTTAAACTGTCCGTGGACGTAGGTCACAGTGACTGAACCACATAATTTGTGTGTCGTCTTCTTTCTCTTAATCTCTTTCTTTTACATATTGTCGTAACAATCTAATTATATTTCACTTAGATATCAAGTAATCTCTAAATAAATCATTAGCAACTGAGCTGTTAGTCTCTAATTACATATGTTTGTAATAGACTGAGAATCAATATCCAGTTACGTTCAATTTAGAGATCGAAAAGTTAGTTTCTATTGATAATTTTATTAGAAACTAAAACACTGTTTTTAATTACAATTAGATTAGAAATTTCAAACAAGTCTTCAAAATGATTTATTTATTAACTCCAAAAAAATTACTCTCTAGTTATATTTGAAATTTTGAAATAGACTCCACACTATAACTAATACAAATTGAACTCTAATTATGTTTGTATTGTGAGCATATAATTGGTCTCAAATTAGTAAATAACTTTTTCAATGAAAATTTGTGAATACTGATATCAATCTCTAAATCGGTCTCTATAATGACTAAATATTTCTGGTCTTTAATTAGCCTCTATTCAGTACTTTATAGTAGTGTTCATGAATGAATAATAAGTTCTAAAACAACTAATATATTATATATGGTATTAGTCGCTTTTACTTAACAGCAACAATCCTTCCTATCGTCATGGGTCATGACTACCTCTTCAATCAATTGAACCTTTGGCATCTCTCTTACTAAAACACATCTTTCTTAATAACCAATCTTTTATCAAGTTTACTGCCTCTAATTTCCCTGCTTGGAGACTACAATTCGATGTTCTCTTTGTTGGCTTTGTTGATGGCCTCGACACGTCCTTTCACCAAATTATATGGTGATTATCATTGGGCAGGATGACCTTGTTTTGCATGCCAAATTTACATATTCTATATGCATTAGTTTGGCCAAATTTAATGTTATTTTTATATTAATTTAATTCATTAAAATAAAATAATATAGTCTTTTTTATTTTATATAATTAAATAATTATATATATAAATATTGAACTCGAAAAATATACAAATTATTTGATATCTTTGTTTTCTTCCCCTGGTCGTAGCAATTGTTTAGGTCCATTGCTAAAGAATAAATTTCGTTTAAAACATCAACTAGAATCCATTGGACCAACCACCGCACTACTAGGCCACAATACCTTGACCAGACCAATATTAACCCATAAACCAAACAAGTCTCGGTTTGGCTCAACTTAATTTTAATCTCCATTTTTTAGCATTTGAATATGAGTCACCATTTTCTATTACATAAGACATGAGAACAGGCCAAAAACCTCATTTTTCAAACAATAGTTTGCTAAATTTAGTATTTTGTTAATAATACGATTAAATAAAACCTACTAAATTAATTCCCAGCAGCCCACTTATGTAAAACAACTAGTATTTTCTTTTTTATACTTTTTTTCTTTGAAAGTTATTTTTGACTCTTCTTGAAGATTTTGTTTTTGTTTGTCCTTCTGTTTGTTGTCAACACAAGATTAGTTATGACTGGATCCCCATTTGGAACGTGATTATAAAAGTCGATATAACATGCAGATATAGAAGCAAAAGAAAAAAGAAGAAAAACCAAATTTATCATTTTCTCGATATAACTTCAGAATTGATCAATTTCGCTTTTGAAATGTGTTTCATGTCCCCACTGCCCCTTAAAATTGCAAAATTTTCATCACTTGCAATTAGTTTGGTACATCCATAAAAATGGTAGTGAAAAATTTATGAAGTTTGACAGTCTCTCATATAAATCTCGTCCCTTAACATTACTCCCTTATTAATTCCATATCAATCTCTGGCTTCAAGTTTAATTAAAGCACAACGTGTCGCGCATCACCTCAATGATTAAATTGAAAAATGATAGATATACACTTGCTAGGTGTAATGTAACCTTTGGCGAAAGATATGAGGAAATCATGAAAAGATGTGATAGAAAAGCAGAGAGAAAAATAAAATGAAATATATTGATACATGAATATTACTATATTAGATCTCGTGAGATATGGGAAAGGGAATGACCGTGAGTGAAGGAATTGGTTGTCACAAGGGACAGGAGAATATTATAGTTGAATGAAAAGAACTTTAATGGATAGGTTCAGTATCATATGCTATATCTTCTCTTTATCTGTTCTAGGCTTCCAGAGAATGTATATACTTTTAGGTTTGACTCGTTAGAACATAATATACAAATTCTATTTTATATATATTTGATAATTTTAAAATAAATCAAAATGGGGAAAGAAAAAGTAGTAAATTTTGATTTTGTTAGCATAATGGAGCTAAGAAGAAGAGATTAAAACAGGGTGTTCTATTTTGGTCTATCAGGGTGCTGAAATTAAGCCACTTCAATGTGATCTAGGACTTCAAAAATAACATTTTGCAAAGGTGGGAATGAAAAATTTGAATAAACCCCTAAATTAGTTAAGAAGTAATTTGATGACATTTTAATGGAAGAAATAAATTTGTCCCTCTTTACATAAATTAAAATGATGGTACGTTTCAATAATAGATGACCACATTAATGATTTTTATATTAAAAAATGATAGTATTTATATATTTTAGAAAGTTAAAATTACAAGTTCACTATAAATTAAATAATTTACTAGGTGTTTCGACAATAATGTCAATCATCATATTAGTAATGTCTACTTCAAATACTCATCATTAACTATCGATGTATCAAATGTCAATATATAATACATAATATTACTAATGTTGATCTACAGATTTATATTGACAGTTTAATTTTGGTTGGACAAGTATTACACTGAGAAAAATAATTTTAGCGTCTGATATTTTTTGGATGAACCTATGATATCTCTCAGTATGAAGTTAGGCACTAATCCATGAAATGTTAGGATTCATTTAAGGAGTTAATTTTATAGATATCATATGCTCTAGAACATGAGTACGTAGAATTGGGTTCACAAAACTGATTACTGATTGACCTGGTATAAACATAGGTCTGATTTTAGATGCGCGTGTCAGGCAAGAGTGTTGTACCGTGATATATAGTAGTTAATCTTAATATAATAGATTTATACATGGCAAATATTCATTTCACTTCTCACACTTGTACTTAATACGTCCTACATGCGTGTGTGTGAATAAGTGAAAGGAGAAGATAATGAAGAAGTTGATTAGTCCGTCTTTAGAAAATGTCATGTGGAGAACAGCTGAAGCATTATTTCCTAAAGCAAAAGCTTGTGGACTAAAAAAATTATGATATGATGTGGAAAAGGATGAGGAATTAATGTGATGAAATTTAACAGTTGAAACTTAGCAGGTATTATATATTTATTAGTTCTTCCCTTGAGTATTTGAACTTTCTGAAGTTATAGCTACTCCGGCTGCTGTTTCAGAGGAGGTACGTTGCTGACTCTGTGAATCTGATCAAGACCAACCATATAATAAACAATAATTAATAAAAGTTATGCTAAAACATAAAGATATATAAATAATGATTAGCAATTCATTTTTTTTCTTCATATTTTCTCATGTATGTCAGAGAAGCCAAATGCACTTCACAGCATCAGAATGATCAAAATCTGTGAAACGAAGTGCAAATAAATATGTACTACCCCATCACTTTTTTTATTGTTTCAATTGTACGTATATATATATATATATATATAT